CCCCAAAACCCCAAAACCCCATGATTCAATTTATAGTCGATTCATTGAATAAATTATTATTAAATAAAAATAAAATAGAAATTGCTTGCAAGCATATAATTAATTGACTTGTTCAACATCTTAACCTTCATTTTATTTATTTCTATTTTCTTAAATCTATCAAAATCAAATAATTCATTGCTCTAGATAGATAGTATCATATTTATCAGAATTAATCTAGTAATATGTTGCAAACTTCTCTTACTAATCTAGTTCTGTCAAATACGAATGTCAAAAGATTTAGCTTCTTTTCATTGTCAATATATTAAAACAGACTATACTAGTTACCACATCTTGAGTAATGAAGTTAATCGACAATTACGTGAGCTGACAATGTTTTGCAGTTGATATAGCCAACTGATCTAGAATCTCTGTAGATTAAAAAAGGCATTTCATCTGAAAACCCATCTATTTTTAAAAGACTATTGCAATTGATGCTACTAGAAGGATTATTTATGTCGAATACCTATTTCGGCTACTATCTATTTAATAATTTGAAGCTTTTATCAATAACACAGATAATATACTGATGCTCTGTAATTTATTGCACTCCAAAAATCGATTTACCTTTAAAATACAGAACTTCTTCGAGTTCCTTAATGTCTATCTAAAAGGTATCTATTTTATTTTTGTTCTTTTAATGAGTAATTTCAACCCTTATAAAATTTAGCCCGCCAGTCTTGTACTAATTATCCTTTAGTTCAGCATATGCTAGACAAATTTCATTTTTGTTATGAACCTATATCGCATCTTATATGTTCATTTTCAGTAGCTGCTTTGTGCAGACGATCCTGTTTGACTTAAAGTCATAAAATTATACATATCCTTCTTGTTAAAATATTATAACTATCTCCTATAGTTGATCTTCTGAATCATAATACTCAAAGAAGAGAAATTTTGAAACTGTTTTTATAGTTGATATTGGTTCTAATATTTCCTCATAAGTAGCTTTATTTAGGATCGTAATAGTTTAATTATTCATTCCACAAAAGATTTTATCTCCACGCTCTGCTATTGAGATTATTTCGGACTGTAAGTCAAGTGTCCATGACTCATTCATTTGATAATTAAATAGGAGAGATTATTTTGAACTTTGCCCAACCAAGATACAAGCTGCCGAATTTGATAGCGAATTATTCCGATATATTACTGTTTATTTCTGATCTTTATCCATATGGTATTAATTGCTTATCTAATAACTTGTAAACTCTTCTAACTTACTCTAGTTCTTTTTATTAACGTTATTTCTTTAAATAAATCCTTTTAGTATAGATTAATTTTATGACTTTTTAAGAAGGAATTACTTTTAATTTGGCTAGTTTTTCTTTTCTAGCTCCGTGCTTTATTCTTGGTTGATATTTCTATCTACATCATTTTAAGAAAATTCATTGTCATAATGTTTATTTTAAACTTCTTGTTCATTTTTCAATTCCTCGCTAGATAAAATACTTGATTACTCTTGATTATCTGGTTTTTTATTCGATTGCATAAAATTATTATTTTGATCATTGTCCATAGCGTCTATATAGATTCCATATATTTATTTATTTTATATTTAAGTTTTAATGCAATCTTCTTGTTTGATAGTATAATCATTTATTTTTTCAGTCAAAGCAAAAGTCTATGACACTTTTGCTTCAATCTCACTAAGTATTTAACTCTATCCATCAATTATAGTTTAACATTCAATCCTAACAATATCTCTTATGTTCTCATTATTGCTATTAAACTATCCTTGCAATGTTTTATCGAAATTCTATTGAGAAGACTAAATATAGTCATTAATAATTTCGTTAATTTTAAAAGTGTTCTTGGATTGACAGTTTTCAATAACTTCTTTCAAAATTTTTTTAAAATCATTTATCGGAATGCTGGTTAAAATACTATGATTCTAAAAATCATCAGTCAAAGTTGTACTATTTAATTATTCAAACTATTTTTAATTATCTTTTTTCTTAGCAAAGTTTAAATTTTAGTACTCCTTAGATTCTGGAATTTATTGACGGAAACTATTTCTCCTTCTATTACTCTCAAGTGAATGATCTTTTTCTGATTCATTTTACAAGTGTTATCCATCGCTTATATTAAGCCGAATTACATTAGAACTTTAGGAAATTTTATCTTCTTGAAATTGGATATTATTAAACAGTTAATAACTATCGAATTCATTAGACATAATATTAGCTTTATTATCAATCTTTTCATCAGAATTTCTACTTTCTTATAATGAAAGTATTTATTTATGAAGTTAAATAATTTCATCTTTGCTTTAAACCAACTTATCTTAAAGTATTTATAATTAAGAATGAAGTTCTGCAACTTCATTCTGACTTTTCAAAACCTTTTATATATTTTCAACTTATATTGATAATTAACTTAACTAAGTTGCTTATTCTAATTAAGCATTTTGGCTTAACGAATGTACATTTTATACTAACTAATTTGCTTCATTTTAGTTTGCTTTGCTATTTACTAATAATTCTAATTAGAAATTTTTTGAATAATATTATGATTCTTTTAGTATCTATAGATTATTAATGATCAATATTTATTCATAATTTTTTTCTTGAAATTCGTTTCCGTTAGCAAAACTTTGATCAATCGGATTTTATTTTTAGTTTAAATCATTTTCTAGGTCAATCTCACTAATTCCTTTTTCTGCTTTATTATTTTATTTGTTTTACTAAATCATCTTTTCAATCTCAGACTTTTCTGCTCCATCAGAATATGAAGAGATAATCTTTTTAATCATCATATAGAAAAGTTCCCCTCCTATAACCTGAGTTTTCAGACTCATTATAAATTATGTCAAAGCATTCATTATCTGATCATGAATTTTCTATTTTGAATAGGCTTAATCTCTTTCTAATATTTAAATTTTATCATTTGCTTTCTCTGTGTATTCATTAAACTTTTGGATCGCTTTCAATAGTGATTGCTTTGAAAGCTATATAAGTTTTTGTTTTTCCATAATATATTTATATATTATATATAAAAAATAATTGATCATTTTTCAATAAATCTGTATGAAATTAATATCAACGGGGTTTTGGGGTTTTGGATTGTGATTTTGGTTG